TTTTGGTAATTCCCTGTCTTTGCTTTTTAAAATATCCAATGTTAGCAAAAACAGCCTGATGAAAATTCCTCAGGGACCAGTATTCTCGTTTCCCCCATGTTAAGGGCAATATCACCATTTTCCCAGGTCTCCTACTGACAGAAAATGTGGTTATTTCACATTTATCAGACTGTTGCAGTACTGAGCACTTGGAGAACACAAACAAGCTATGTTCCCTGACTATATCTTTCCCATGAGCATTTACAACCCCTGAAAAGGGCAGCCAATAATGACTTTTCAGTCTGTATTGAAGAATCGGTGTGCAGACAGAGATTATACCAGGGCCAGGCAGGTAGTTACTGAGCAGAAAAGACTTAGTGCCTGTGTATTAAACACATGTGAATAGTTTTCATTATCAAAAATAAATATGCTTTCCTTCATGTTTTTATTGACATGATTCTTTTTATACCTTTTATTTTTTAACTTTTTACACAGTTAGGAGTCTATAGGAATGTGTCTTAAGTAGAAAACATGGAAAGCATAATAAATGATAACAGCAAAAGTCATCTTATAGCAAATGACACAGTAATATACTAGGGAGTGGCTGGACATTTGAATTTTTACATGAAACATGGATTTAAGCATGGTTTAAACATGGCAAAAATTAAAATTGTATTGTGCAGATTATTCCTGAAATATAACACAGTTAGTGGCCAAATTTGACCACAATGTGGCCTTCAAAAAAGCTTCTTTTGGTTATATTTTGTCTTTGGCATGTTGGTCTTGAAATTATTGCTGATTACTATTCTCATGTGTCCCATTTTTAGCCATGACTAAGGTAGAACTTAGGCAACCAAATTTTAGAAGCTCCACAATTCTTAGGCTCATTAAGGGCTGGGAGGCACTGATACAGGCAAGTGGTTAGCGCCAACAAGTTCCCTCTACCTCCCATCTGATCCTATCCTCCAAAGAAATGGTTTGCCTCCCAAGAGTGACAGCAACAGCACACCCCTGATGAGATTCATTATTTAACTGTGTGACTGAGGAGATCTGTTGATGTGACCCAAAATCACCAGGAGGCAGTTCAGAATGTTAGAAGTGTTAAACTTCATTAGTTGCTAAGTATCATATTTGAGGTAAGACTACATTAATAATATGCAGATGATTCTGGTTAGGATAGAAAAGGCCCCTTGACAGAGTCCAAGAAAAAAATATAATAGAGGAGAAAGAAAAGGTGCAACAGGTATGGGAGATGTGAGTATCCTACAATATATGATTTTGTAAGACCAGGAAAATTAACCAGATATTTCCATGTCTTTGAAGAAGTAGCCCTTAAATTCCTCCAGCCCTCTTTGACTTGATCATATTTACTTAGTGTTCTTCTAATTACTAATACTATTTCACAGAAACTTTATTCTTTGGTAGTGGCCTAATGAATCCAAGCATTCCAATCACTGGGAAGGAATCTCCCCCTAGTATAGATTTAATAAAATGAAATTAGGGGTTATAAATCAATCTTCTATGAGCGTCATTAACATGATGCAGGCTTCAAAACTCTGATGAACTCCAAACCCACTGACAAAATTCAGTTCTCTGGCTTGTAATGTTTATTTATTTTATTTTATTTTATTTTATTTTTGTTTTATTTTATTTTATTTAAAAATTTTTTTAAATGTTTATTCATTTTTGAGAGAGAGAGTGTGCACGAAAGAGACAGTGTGAGCAGGGGAGGGTCAGAGAGAGAGGGAGACACAGAATCTGAAGCAGGCTCCAAGCTGTCAGCACAGAGCCCAACAAGGAGTCGAACCCATGAACCATGAGATCATGATCTGAGCTGAAGTTGGATGCCTAAACTACTGAGCAATCCAGGTGCCCCTCTGAATAAACCCTTGATCTCTCTGAGAAGGGGGAATGTGATACCACTCTGGCATTTTTTTCTAATTTGAAATTTTCTAATTTCAAAACCAACTCAGGAAAACCGATGTTAAAACTGTATTTTGATGGAAACTTTTATCTGTGATCCAAAGTCCTCACTATTTCCCTTATATTTTTTCAGGATGTGAAAATTGAGTTGAAGAAATCTGTTAAGTTTCCATGGAAATGGTGCCAATTAATTCTTTCTGTTCCTCAGGAAAATTCCTTGACTTAGCAATAATGTAACTTCCTGGCAATCCCTTGGCAGTCTTGAATGTAGGGCATCTGAAACACTTATAATTTCAGGGGGAAAATAGTTGGCTCTTGTAATCCCTTTTCCTTCCAGCATATAGTGAAATAATGAAATAATTTCTTTAACCTTCCTTAGAGAATCTGTCTAGTCCCTTTAGAAAAATCTTGATTCTGACAAACATTTCAGAAAAAGGCCTTGTTTTGTTCTGTTTGATGAAGCAGGTACTGCTTTTCCTATTATACCATGAAATCCCAGGATAGTTAAAGAGTAACCATTAATTCAGTAATGAAAAATCTTGATCACCTAGTATGTCCCATGGACTGGATGGTCATAAATACCTGAAAAAGTTTACAGAAAAATGGTTGGATAGAGTAAACCCTTTTGGGTTCTTAATTCTTTACTTTTAAAATCTTCCCAATTATTCTTAATTATCTCTTCTTTTCTCATACTAGATTCTGATTTCCCTGCAGAAATCAGGAAGGTTTTCCAACATTCTATAAGGTTCAATGTTCCTCTTCTCCTTGCAATAGAGGAATACTCTTTTCTGTTCTGCAAAATTACTGATGTCCTGATGTCCTGGGTTAGAGGGATCTAGGGAAACTGTTCTAACGTGACTAATCTAAAACCTTATCAATCAGCTGGATTTAAAAATCTAGAGAGAAAAAATTCACACAAAATTTGATTAAAATTGAGTATCCTAGCCCTAAAATAATTTTAAAAAATCTACCTATTGTTGATCTTGAGGAAAGAAATTAAGCAACAAGATATGGACAGATACCAATCCAATAAAATATTTTATAATTAGGTTCTTATTTCCTTTCACTGTGCTCTTTTTTCTGGGTACAGAAGAGACTAGTTTTCTGTCCATACAAAAGAAAAATAATTGGTGTCTTCTAGGCTTAATGGACACTAGCAGCTTTTCCTTATGTTGCTCCCTGGGGGAAAACCAGGGGACAATTGGTAAGAGCAAGAATTCTAAGGGTCTCTTCATTACTCTTGCTATTTGTCAGCTTTCTTCACCTCTGGTGGCATTCTTCACATTTTCCCCTTCAAATTCAAGCAGAATTTAATTAAAACATGATAATTGAATAACTTACTGAAAAAATGCTTCAGGAAAATTTTCTCCTCAGGAGCTCAAAGTATCCTTTCTCTTTATTCTTTCCAAAACTCTGTGAGGTATGTGGGGGAGTCCTGATAGGAATCATCTCTACTTTGTTCATCCTGCAGGAACCGTTTGATTCTAATTGTACAAGAATCTCATATAGAGTTCTGCATTTATTTCTTGAGACAGGTAAAGGTTCAGTGGAAGGATAATGGTAACCTTAAAAAGATAAATCCTTCCCCTCATATTAGTGAATCACTAGAAATGGAAAGTTGTCAGATAGAGGGTTTTTTTGGATTTAAATTTAAAAATAGTGTATCTATGGGTTCAGAGGGGGGACCGGAAATTCTGTTTTACTATCTGCTTCATTCAACCATCATGTACTTAATTGGGCAAATGATTTAAGTACAACCTTGCTGCCATGGGAAGTGCCACTTGAAGTGATGGATGAAGATCTCTCATTTAAGGACACACCTTTGTTTGGAAGAAAATCCATGGCTGTCTTAGAAATAGGTTCACTGAGGTTCTGTATTTTTTTAATGTTTATTTATTTTTGAGAGCAGGGGAGAGGGACAGAGAGAGAGAGGGAGACAGAGGATCTGAAATGGGTTCTGTGTTGATAGCCAAGAGCCACCTGCTGACAGCAGAGAGCCCAATATGGGGCTTGAACTCATGAGCCATGAGATCATGACCTGAGCAGAAGTAACATGCTTAACTGACTGAGCCACCCAGACACCCCGAGGTGTGTATTTAAAAAGTGTTGTTAGAAGTGGATGCAGTCAGTGCCTAGCCATCTCTATGATAGCACAAAGGGAGACCAGCTAAGGGGGTATTCAGTGGCTGTTGTGAGAAAACCTCCTGATTTTATTTTAATGTCGCTGTCAGGAACATACCGGTAGCAATTTCAAGGCAATACTATTTTGGACGAAGTTATTTCAAAGGTGAGTTGAGGTTGAAAGCATCTGCATGTGCTCACTGATTATCAGAGCCAGCTCCCTATATGTGTCACCTTTTATGTTTCTTATTTTTGAACTATAACCAAGCTTTTATTATCAGGAGGAAAAAAAATCACAGTAAACAACCCACTAGAGTTTCTCTTTTCAATAGGAACCACAAATGTCAGGGAAAACTGGAGGCAGCCGCCTCTCTATAGAGCAAGAGGAAATTTTTTTTAACTGTGTGTGATGTCTCTGTACCTTCAGGATTCAGCTCTTTTCTGCATTACAAATACGTGCTCCCAGAAATGCTGGATCAAGTGCTGAAGGCAAGAGAATAGTGAAAAGGGTATAGTCTTTGATTGGAGTTCAATGCAGAGTACAGAAGTCCCACGCTGGTTCCTTTCTTTGCAGAATCAATCATCTGTCTTCCCACTGCCCCCAATTTGCATTCCAGAGGCTACTTTCTAAAGGTCTATAAAAGCATAGTCACCATGCATGTTAGAGGATTTGTCTTACTTGACCTTCCTAGAGCCCTGCTGACAGCATCATCAGCATCGCCACAAACATTCTCACAAGCCTGTTTCTTCCCTTTATAAATTAAAATAATTTTCTTGTATTAATCTTATTATGGCAAAATTATATTTGGGCAAGACACTAATTTAAGAGTAAAACTAATCAGGGGCACAGTTATTATTATTATTGTTTGTCTGGTTTTACAATTATTTACTTCTATCCTTGGAGACTTTATTCAATATTCATAAGACTTTAGATCTTACTTAGAGATTATTAAATAAACTGAAGTTCATGTGACTACCTTGTCTCTTAGGACCGTGGAACCTGTCACCATCAGATTGTCTTCGGGCTGCTTTTTGTTGAAACACTGTAAAAAAAAATAGCACATAATATTTATTGAACACAAACGTAGAAAAGAACAGAGAGTGGAAGTCTCCAGGAAACCAGAACACGATACATCATTTTCCTTAGTAGCAATTCTTGGATTCTATTATTTTTGAGTAGGAGGATTATTAAATTTACAATTTTCTCATTTGTGCAGCTTATCAGTCATTTCAAAGAGCATTTTCTTTAGGCGGAATTGTGCAATGCTGATGGAACACCTCGTTAAACTACTTAAATCAAGACATGATTCCATTTTGATATCAGGTAAAGATAAAAGGTGTGTTTTGCTAAAAGTGATAAATGTTAAAATCACGTGAAAAATTCCATTTGCGCAGAAATTACTCATGCTGAGTTTGGTGATAAGCAAGGATAATGACTGTTTCTTCCTAAACAGATGAAAAGACTGCTGTATTTCACAGATGTAATAATAAAAAAAGACACTTTATACTTGCATCATCTAGCTAGATCTCAGACCTACTAAAGCAGCTTATTTGAATTACTTCATTATCTGAAAGGTGCTTTGTTCTCATTTATTATTTCTCACGCGAACGTCTGTGAGACAAGTCAGCATTACTCACCTCATTTTGCAGATGAAAGATAAAATTGATTGTTTAATATTTATTGAGCACCCACAAAGTTCGGTCTAGCTTCTGGCATTTGTTAATGAAAAAGCCTATACCCTTTACAACTTGACTTTAGAAAACTGAACATCTCAGATTTGGTTCCATTTATTTTTTATAGGTAGTCTGAATTACAGTGTCTGTGAAATGCAAGAGGACTTGAAGATTTAGACCAACTTCATATGTTTCAAGATGAGGGAGGTGGAAGTTTTACTAACTTGTAAAAAGGGCTAAGTAATTTTGCAATAATCCCAGAACTATTGTTAGTAGAGACTTGGTATAGAGCCTCAAGCCTTTAACTGCAATCTATTGCTTGGTTCTCCATAGCACTGTTGTCTTTTCTCTTTCATAACTATTTCCTTTTAAAGATAAAAGGATTCAAAAGAACCTTTGAGTATTTCCAGCATGCTTGTGTCTCTTGTTCTTCTTAGTCGCTCACCAGGATTTCCTGGGATGATGGAGCTGAGGCAAGTGACAGCCAGAGTGGCCCAGCTGGACAGTGCTTGACCACTCTGATTGGAAGATGCAGCCCAGCAGTTGTTTTATATTCTCGTCTTTAGTTTTAATATCCTTTTATTTTTTTAAATTTTAATGTTTAATTTTGAGAGAAAGAGAGAGAGACACACACACCCAGAGCACGAGTGGGGTTGGGGCAGAGAGAGAGGGAGACAGAATCCGAAGCAGGTCCCAGGCTCCAAGCTGTCAGAACAGAACTGGATATGGGGCTCGAACTCACGAACTGTGAGATCATGACATGAGCCAAAGATGGCGCTTAACCAGCTGAGCCACCCAGGTGGCCCGGTTTTAATACTCTTTAAGCCAATCTATTATGAAGGTCATACTTGTGTTTAATCCAGATGACCTTTTTTTTCTTGAATGAAAAAAAATGCCCCAAATCATACCACATCAAAAAGTATTTTTTAAGCATATATAGTTTGCCAGCTATTGTCAAGAGGAAGACTATTTGGCTCTACTGTCCTCTTTCAAAGAGGAAAAGCAAATATATTTTCAAAGTATGATGTGTTTAAGAGAAAATATACACATATAATAACATTTCTGGTTGAAAACCAATTTTCTGCCTTGTTAGGATTTGGAAAACATGCTAAATATAACTTAATGGCAAGTTCTGGGTTTGTGGCTTATATTTTTCCTTAAATAAAATATAATGATGGATATATGGTGTGTGAATATATTTTAGGATATTAGAAAAATTTTTACAAGTGGTGCTTGGCTTTTTTTCCATTGGCTAGTTCTAAAAAGTCTTGCAAAAATGAAACACTTTTGCAATTTTAAAAACAGGCAGAGTCTTTATGCTTTTTTTCGCCAGTATCGTGACGATAATAACTAAAAATGTCGAAGATGAAGGAGCTGTAGTATGGCATCAATTAATATGGAAAATAATCTGAATCTGAAGACGAATTGAGACAACAAATTCTCCAAATAAAAAGCACATTAATTGGTCAGTTTTAACAATTCTGCTGAAATTGGGAGGTGTAGAGTACTTGGAAATGGCATTTGTTTTTTCAGAGTTTTGGCATTAATTTGTTACATCCTATACGTTGTTCCACTGACAACAAATGCCTAGCGTTACACTGAATGTTACACTCTGAGTTTCTAGTCTAAGAATTATAAAGAGCATATTTATTTACTGTTGACATTTCACCAGGGCTTATAGCTGGAAGAGCCTGGGATCTGAGGGAAGATTGGAAGGGGAGCAGGATGTCAGAGAAGGATGGTTATCAAAGTGCTGATAACAGAACTTTTAAAAAGCAGGTGAGAGTATGCCCCACAGTACAAAGGCCCTTTCTCCCTGGATAATCTCCTTTGAAATTCCCTCTTAACTCACCTCCAGCTGCACCCCTTTCAACTGGTCCCTTCCGACCACCTACAGACCAGCCTCAGTTCCTTACAGAGACTCACTTAGCAATTAGCACTTTGCCAAACACACCATTTTCTCATTGCTGTGGAAGACAGGAGGTGTTTTTGAATATGAGGTAATGTTGGAAAAGGCCCACATTAACTTGTTTCTTGAAGAAACGGTCCATCAAAATGATCACTGACTCAAACATGCATAACAAGGAAACATACTCTGTTAAGTTTTAGGAAAAGGGCAGATAGAAAATTCCAGAATTCGTGAATCTTTCCTTTTTTATGGTTAATATTAGCTGAAACATTTTAAATTTACCAGTAAAACCTTCGTTCTAAAAAAATTTATACTGTTTTTTGTTTACCATGTTCATTCATGCAAACCTTTATAAGAGGTAAGTATACAATCCATAATATCATGAAAATTGGACATTGGGTTATGAGTCACTCAGCTTTCTATATGAAAGTACATATTTTTGTATAAGATTTGTGGTAAGATGAGAGTCTGTTGTAAACATACAGAAATTGGAAAAAAAAATCCCACCTATATGCCAGAAGATTAACCAACCTGACACAGTGAAAGGGGCATAGTTTTGTCTTAATGTTAATAATATGTGTGACATGGGAAAATAGCTTTCCCCTGGGCCTTTATTTTATTGGTGATAAAGGTGGAGTTCAGATGAGATGATCTCTGATGTCTCTCTGAACTCTGACATTCTAGGGGGCATCCGACTTCAGCTGAGGGCATGATCTCACGGTTCATGGGTTCAAGCCCCACATCGGGCTCTGTGCTGACAGCTAGCTCAGAGCCTGGAGCCTGTTTCAGATTCTGTATCTCCCTCTCTCTCTGCCCCTCCCCTGCTCACACTGTCTCTCTCTCTCTCTCTCTCTCTCTCAGAAATGAACATTAAAAAAACATTAAACATTTAAAAAAAAAACCAACTCTGACATTCTAAGATGCTACCAATCCTTATTTCCCAAATCATTCTAGGCCCAATCGTGCCTGGATAAATTCTTAAGTATGAATTTAAATAGGAGGCTCTGTTTTGAGGAAGAGATTATGTGTATCAAGGGCTTAGAATAATAGAAAAACTAGACAGTTAAATCACAGACCAAGGTTAATTTTTTTTATAATATATGGTGATCCTGTCCCTAAGTGCTTGAATTCATGGAGGATACTATTTTTTTTACCATATTTTACTGCATCAATGTTCAAAAAAATGCTATTAAGGCAATTATGACATACATCAGCTTTGATGACTCTACCCCAGTGAAATCTTATTTTTCTTTCCTACCTAAAATTGGAACTTGAGAAGAAAGGAAAATGACTACATTATTAGTAGTTGTCACCACCTTTAAACATTAAGAAAAGTCCATAGAGAAAGAAAAACAATTTTTGAGGTTCGAAATAATCTCAAACAATGCAAATGTCCCAAATACCACCTCCATTTATTTTAAATATTGGCAGAACAACTTCTATAAAATTTTCTCAAGAATAGAAATGACACTAAATGAAGAAAATTAGCATAGTATTAAATATTCAAAACATTAAGCAAAGCAGAACTATCAGAAGAATGGAGGAGGAGGAAAAGGTGAAATATAACGAATTCACTGGCACTATTTGTCTTCCCAGGTTGCTTCTGTAAGAACATTCTTTATGTCAACTTTATCTGTAGCCTATTTCAAGCAAAGGGACCCTTCCAAAGCCACTCTCCTAAAACATCTGACAAAACTTATTTGGAATTACGTTGTAAGTGGCTAAGGTAATGGAAAGTCTGTGCAATGGCCAAAGGCATTCATAAAGATGTATCTTATAAACGACAAACCCCTTGATGTTCCATGCCTGTTAGAAGTGCGACATAACATGTTTAGAACTATCACTGAAGATTATTCCTGAAACTAGAGACTTGATATAAAAAATATGCAGATTGGTATTGTTGCACAGGTAGCAGCAGTGTATTTATTATTCTTTCAATGAAGTTTCAATAGGTTGGTAACTATGTAACTGGCTACAGTGCTAGGTCCTGAAGATGCAAAGGCAAATAAGACTCAGTCATAGTTTCTATACTATTCTCCATTTTGAGGTATCCATTTAAGCAAAGGTCAAATGTGTCATTAGTACCTACTGGTGAGAGGATAGAGATGAGAATCAAGGAGGGCGAACGAGGGTGGCAAATTGACCTCTGTAGCCTTACTCTTCTCACCCTTTCCCTCAATTTTGCACCCTGTGAAAACTAATCACAAAAAAAGCTAGAATGACTATTAATAACCCCCTGTCTAAACAAACAACCCCCTTGTTTAACCGGCAAAAACAAATTAACAGAACATTCTAATTCTTTTTTTTTTTTTTTTTTTTTTACAAATAGTTTATTGTCAAATTAGTTTCTACATAACACTCAGTGCTCATCCCCAAAGTGCCCTCCTTCATGCCCATCCCCCCCTCCCCCCCACATCCATCAGTCCTCAGTTTTTGTCAGCATTCAAGAGTCTCTCATGG